TAGCTGCAGGTTGAAGCACGAATCCTTTCCTTACCTGGCGGTTCATATTTGAGGTCTATTCTCATATAATACGAATGATCATGTAGGTAAGCAACGAACATTCTCTGAGAAACACATTCCACCCAGAGTAATCTCACCTAGATGCCAAGCTAATGTCGAGAATCTCCTAGCATAGAAGATGCTTCGACCGTGCGGTGGAAGAGGATGATGATGACCATGACGTGTTATTCAACTTCTTGGCCTGGACAAATTTCTTATGCTGTGCCACGCGCCAAGCATCACACCCGCCTCCCAGCCTCGGTCTTGTGCTTCCACCTACGACTGACAGCATACTCGATACGAGGTGCACTGCTTTCAACAGCGAAACTTGCCGTCGATCTAGACCAACATCCCTCTGGACTATAATGTTGGCCGCCTACTTTTGAGAGACCCACGAACTCGACGCCCCTTGTTTTCAAGAAGCCCGAGGAGGTAAGCTGCACTGCTGGCCTTCCAGGCCACCGAAAAGGATTTATTGAGCACAAGACGACGGGGCACGGGGACCATTTGCTGCTATTCTTGCACATGAACCAAGATGCACTTCTGTCAGGGCTATACCGATAGCATCGTATACGAGAGATCATAGTCCATGTCGACAGACACTGAAATATGGGCGCCACTGTCCTATTCTCAGCGAGCTATGGCAAATATACCCTACTGATGACTACTCTTCAACTACGCCCAGCTGATCATTCTGGCTGATCAAATACGTCAGATTCAGGACGGTATGTGAGAACAATCACAGACACTTAGCACGCCACGACTTTGAAATCAAGGTATATGAAGGCATTCCCTCGACTCTGAGTTCTTCTTCTCCTCTTCACACACACAAACCACACAAAAACATATCAGGCAGCTTTCGTTTTGCTTCCCTTCTCTTGACGTCTCAACTCCCTTTTTCAAGAATCAACCCTTCAAAAGGCAGAAATCTTTCACAACAATGCACTTCACAACCATCACTGTGGGCACACTGGCTCTCGCCCTCGGCATCTCTGCTGCCGAGCATGGCTTTCGTGCCCGTGTATGCCGTTCCAACCTCCTTTCTGGCATACTCATGAACGAGCCTGGCTGACATATCTTTGTTTTTCAGCAATCCGCCTCCCTTGTCCGCGTCAACGTCGGTGACATCGTGCTCACAAGCGGCCAGACCCAAACCCTCGGCGTGTCGATCGTGGAAGGCGCCACATCCGGCAGCGAAGCCTTCGGCTTCAGCACCTCGAGCGCCGTGCTCCGCAACTCGGACATCCAGGCGTCAGGCCTCTTCACTTCGGCCTTGTGCCTCTTCACTTCCGCTCGGATTGGCAATGACGCCGACGGGAAGGTAGCTTGTGACCTGGGCACGGTGGTGGGGTCGGGCACCAGCAGCGACGAGGGCTCGACTGTCACATTTGACGCCGATGCGGTGTGCATGTTTTGCCAGTTCGAATAAGAGGGAGACATCGAGGTGGAAGACTCACAGAAGAAGCTGAGAAGTGGCACGAGGGGTTTCCGGAGTCGACGGAAACTGCGTAATTCTTTCGTTTTGCCCTCTGGCATTGAGCGACGGGGAAGTGGAGCTTATGAAAGACCCGTTGGTCTGTCTCTGTAATTTTTGGCTTCTGCTCTTTATGTAGTATTCAGATCTTACTCAATTAAGCTCTATCCTCTCTTTTATATTCCAGTTTCGCTGGTCGTCCAAATGCGTCCAGTACACGAGTACGTGTCGCAAATGTGGGCAGAGTCAGCAAAGCGCTGTTGGCAGATAGGGATAGCGATGCCTGATTCCCGTAACTCCGGATACACAACTTGGTCAGACCTTAGATGACAACCTGGAAGTAATGGCATCAACAAGCTCTTGTGAGCATTTACAAGATTTTATTTGTCTACTTGACCGATTTCCAGAGAGGGCTACGGTGCAGTGGGTCGTTATACATATCTACACCACTTGCCATGCAATCATATTTTTGAGGAGATTCCGCGGCCCCCAAATCTCCCTTTTCATGAACTGTCGGACCTCAACCTCGTCAACATCACGATCGGTGTCATTCCTATTCTCCCCCAGCATTTCCAATCCTCCTGCACCATCTTTCTCCGTCACAGACTGCTTTTCGTCCAGCAGAGTCCTCTCTTGCCTTCGCTCCCTTTCTTTCACCAATCTCGCCTTCCACTTCAACTCGCCGACTTTCCAACCTCTGACCACCCATAAGCACAGTCCTGCACCAATATACATGAAGGCTGTGAAAATCTGGGGCGGGAGGTATATCCAATTCTCGGTATTCCTGCGTCGAAGCTCCAAAGCAATCGGTTCTGCACACGTCGTGGGTGGAACCATGAGCAGCCACGTTAGCGACAACCCTGCAGGTAAATCCTGAAGGCCGAGCACCTCGGCGCCGACGGGGGCAATGGTCGTCCAGAAAGTCCCTGCTAAAGCACCACCAACAATTGCGAAGAAACACAACAACCCCATTGGCGACGAGACTGTTTCGGCGGGGATCCAGAAGGCGAAGCAAAAAAAGCCGCACAGGAGACTCAAGAACGTAGCAAGGTTGATCCGGCCCCAGCGATCGGAAGATAGACCGATAAAAGGCCGTCCAAGCATTTGGCCCAAGTTCAAGACGGCCCCGAGGACTGAACCTTGTTTTGCGCTCAGCCCGATTGAACGCGCGTAGGCAGGCAGTGAGAAGAGCAGGATTGTGTAACCGAACATGCTGAACCAGGACCAACCTTGGACGAGCAGAAACTCGGGTCGGGAGAGGATTTTGGTGTCAAATCCCTTATGGCGCGAGCCCGTTTGTTTGTTGCGGTCGCGAATGAGGTTTGACGCGGTCAAATTGACAGCGAATGAACAGATTCCTAGGATGCGAAATGCCCAAGGAAGACCCATTGTATCGATGATTCGCTGTGTCACGAGGGAGTACATCAATCCGCCGAGACCTGAACCCGCCGCGGCGATAGAATTGGCCACGCTGCGTTTCTTGGTAAACCACTGCGCTATGATACCAACGGAGCCCACAAACAGAAATCCCATGCCCCAGCCGAAGCAAAATCCCTGGGCCAGGATGATCTGGTATTTCTGGGTGGCGAAGCTAGCGCCAATCAGGGAGAGGGTTTCAAAGAATACGCCCAGGTGAAGGCATACTTTGGAGCCGTAGAGGTGAATGATGCGTGTGGCTAGAGGGGCAACGAGCATAGCCTGGGAGATGGAAAGACCGCCGATAAAAGCGTACGCCAGAGCAGATGTGTTGGGAAAATAGTTGTTATTGAGATAGTAGGAGAGAAAGACGCCGTATGAGGAGTTGATTCCCCAGGTGTGTCCTATACGCCAATATGTTAGTGATTGGTGGCCAGTCGAGGTGGTTCAAGGCGAGAGAATGCTTCAACCCCGGATTGCGTGATGGTGCTAATCTCCAGATCTCTCGTGCTTGAAACTTAGCCGCATACCCCAGATCTCAGATTGGGCTTGGCCAATACACAGAGATTCGAGAGTCGAAACACGGTCACAGGGACCAAAACAAAGAGGTCATCCTTACCATTGATGAAGAAGTTGCAAGCGACGCATACCCAGCCATATCCGCCGTCTGGAGGGGGCTCGTCCAACTTCGGCAGAGTGGAAGGGCTCTCCTCAATGTCGACCGTCTTTTCGGATTCGTTTTCATGGCGGGGGCGGATCTTTTGCGGAACGCTGCGAGGCTCAGCAACATCAATGGGCGCGCTACCTGCCATGTTCCCTACTGCTTTGCCCAGAGAGATAGAATGAGAAGGTAGGGACACAGGGAAAGGAAATTCGAAGGCGGATCGGGCGAGGAGTAGTCACATTTTACGGGTTACCGACAAAAATTCTGCACAAGGCATCGAATAGACCTGGCCACCGAGCCATGTCCGGGGGCATTTGCCGGCTATAGGGAGGGGATTTTGGATCTCGGTCAAAAGCCGCTGGTGCCGTGGGTGCGAGATGCGACAGTGGCCTTGACTAACAGATTCGGTGACTGGGGGGTTGGTGGGAGGATTCGCATGGACAGAGTACGCCTTTCGAGGCATCGGATGTGTACACAGGACGGAGTTGTCCGTATGGTGAAAGGGACGGAGCCATAGGGGTGCTTATGTAGAGAGGAGGAGTACCTAGGTACATATGTACAAGTCACCTGGAGCGTCATCAATTATGTGGAGGGCGAAGCGGAGATAGAGGACCTTGTCATGCCGCTTCTTCCGATCAAGTTGAGATGGAGTTGAAGCTGAAGCTTGTTGTTGTTGTTGTTATTGCAGGCACAGTGTTGATGCAACCCGATGGGCTGTCGAGGCGCATCCATTGCCATGATGTCGCTGCCATCATTCTTGTATTTGGAGGACAATACAGTAGACATTGATGAATTCATTCCCGTGAGAAGGGCAAAAGATGGCTTGTCGATGTCATGACGGTTGACCTGGCTGGATGCTGGCGGTGATGCCTGGTGGCCTGAACGCCTGATTCCCAGCAGGTGGAGATGATGCGTGAGTGGTTGTCGTCTCAACCGCGCAGCCCAAACAAAAAAGTTGGCCGCGCTGCGCTGGTCAACCAGCCTGCGCTTCGCTGTGCACAGTTGACAGTTCTCAATCGCACTCACCGTCAGCAGTCCAAGACATTATTATCGCATCTTCTATTGAGTACTGACAGGTGAACTGTGTGTTTTAGTACCCTCGTGTCAATTCATTTCTCATCTGGTCTATACTGTGACGTGCGCTGCGTTTGATCTTACCTCGTACTGCTGTGAAGTTGGGCGTCAAGATCCATACGAAGTACACGTCTCAAATTGGTGCATATGCGGTGAAGCCATCTCAGTTCAAACTTCAACAGAACACACAACCATGTTTCATAAGAGAAGCAGCGTGGGCGGCAGAAAAGTCTCTCCGCCTCAACCCACTTGCATGACTGCTGAACAGAAATGTAGGTGTCACTTTGTACCATCGCCCGTTCCCTGCTCCAGTTCTCCAAGAAGCCCGCAACGATGCCTCCACGAGAGCCTCCCTTTAAATCAAAGTACTCACATAGACTCCCAGCCACCTATCTCGACAATCTCAGGAACAATCGTCCCGCTAGACCAACCGGGTCCAGGCCTGCTCCATTTCCATCCAGGAATTATGGCTCCTTGACATCCCAGTCTTCGCTGGCGCGGTCCGACTCAGCCCCGACGATCGGCTCAAGGCAAAGCGACATACTGGACGATGCTGAACATGTCCCTCCAACCGTGCAAAAGTCCATGTCTTTCTCTTCCACATCCAAGGGCCGACCTCTGGCACAACCTCCGGACAACGAGCGACCGGTCTTGAACGGAAGGAAGGTTTCGCCGGCAGCCACTGTCCATGTCCCGCAGATTGCACAGGAAGGAGTCTATGTCGAGTCAGTTACGCGGAGACTGGAAAAAGAGGAGGCACACAGCATACGGGAAGCGTTGGAGCTTATCGATCAAAAGGATGAGGAACGAAGGATTTACGACGCTGCCAAAGACGAGGCTGCCGAACTGGTCTGGAAGCATCAATACCCCAAAGCCGCAGAAGAGGAAAAGGTGGCTCCGTATCGAAACCCGGATTTGAAGTCCAGAGAGAAACGACAGAGCAGTGGACACCGTCAGATCAGTGGTTCCAGGAAGGTCTCTTTTCCAACCCCGAACAGCAAGATATATGAGGAACCAGAACCCGACGAGGATACGTCAAGACTACCCATCCCGCCTCCTACCGTAGATCTTCCTTTGAGGGCTAGATCACGCAACAAACTCCCCTGGCTGAGAACGAAGACCCCTGAAAAGCCAGAGGATAGCGCACAGGTCTCCGATGGCAAGAGGTTCGACCGCTTCGAGATCCATAGGAATCCACCGACTCAGTCACGCAAAGCAGAGTACACAGAAAACACACCTCCACGGGCGCCTGCCGTTGATGTGATCGAAGAAGTCGACACACCCGCTTCCACCGGCACTTTAGAGATTCGGAGCGAGGAGATTCGAGCAGCAACAAGTATGAAGAGGAAAGATCGGAGTCCTAATCTTCCCACCCCAACAGCTGTCAGTGATCAAGTCGGCCGGCCCATTGTCAGTTTCGATCCGGCATGGAGAAGTCCGAGTGATCCACCAAGAACAAGCGAAGATATTGAGAAACCGGTCGCGAAGCTGACGGAATCACCTGCAGTGCGACCATTGCCCAACCCGGCATCCACTGTACCAGCAGTCTCGGTGTCTGCTCCTGTCGTGCCTATCATCAATCTCCCAGACGACGGCCCAGAGATCCCAGTCATCAATATCCAGGAAGACGATGCCTCTTGTTCTGTGCCCACAATCCACCTCCCAGATGAATCCCATCCTGCACCGACAACACCCAGACCATTTCCAAAGCACTCAACGTCCGCACCGAAGAATTCCTGCAGTTCTGTCGTGAAGACTCCCTCACAGCGCCTTCCTTGGCTTGCCTCTCGACAATCTATGCCCACTGTCTCCTGTTCGAGCTGTGCCCTCCCCATCTCCGGCCGCATTGTGACCGCCTCCGGCTCCAATTCCCGCGATCTCAAAGCCCGCTTCCACCCCGAATGCTTCACTTGTCACCACTGCTCCACTCCGCTGGAGTGTGTCTCTTTCTACCCAGAACCCGACTCGTCTCGCCTCTCTCGCTTAGGTATTTCCTCGACTTCTGACCTTGATCCCACAAGCCCTTCGGTTCTCACGCCAGACCAACTTGCCCTTCTCGAGAACGAGCCCCTGAGATTCTACTGCCACCTAGATTTCCACGAGTTCTTCTCTCCCCGGTGCCGAAGCTGCAAAACCCCCATTGAGGGAGAAATCGTTATCGCGTGCGGTCACAGCTATCACGTCGATCACTTTTTCTGTGCGGAATGCGGAGATCCGTTTTCTTCCACTACGCCCTTCGTGGAAGGAAATGATGGATACGCGTATTGCGTGCGGTGCCACACGAAACGCACTTCCGCCCGCTGTCGTGGCTGTAGACTACCCATCCTGGACGAGATCACGGTAGAGGCGTTGGGCGGGAAATGGCACGGAACCTGTTTCGTGTGCTGCGAGTGCCGCGGTGGATTTGGCGACGAGGGAAGATTCTTCGTCAGAGAGGTGCATGTGGAACCGACAGACAAGGAGAAGAGAAAGGGTATTATGAGAAAGGTGGAAGAACGCGCGGTTTGTGGAGGATGCGAAGAGAGGAGGCTGAAGGCTTGAGCGGATTTCCGACGAGGAGAGAAGGAAGAAAGGAGGAATGGTCAAAGAAGGGGCCCGGGGGAGGGTTTCATTGCTTGGAGTCTAAGGCTAGATATTGATGAATGGAGCCTGAGAGGTCGTTTTCACGGTATTCCGGTGTATCTGACTGTTTAATGTGCCATGCTTCGACGTTGGACAGTCGTGCGGAACGAGGAGTGAAGTTGTGACCCGGCTCTTCCTTCGAGCCCCCACTGCTATTGTAACATAAATCGGAGGCAGAGAACAACAGGTAGCTAACATCCTACATAGCCCCTAGCCATGTTGAGCCAAACCCTCTTCTATGGAAAGCGGTCCTAAAGGCCCAAGATGAAAGCGATGATTTGTGTTATTGAATACTAGAGGAACCAGGGGTACATATGGTCTCCTGTCCGAAGCATCCACTGGTGAAGATGATGAATAGCATCAATCTCAGCAGTAGTCTGCCACTTTGGATACTCCGCTCCAAGCGACCAAGTAGGCAATTCCATATTCATCCCACAAGACTGTAATGTGCCATCTTGCATTCCTTGGATTTGTCTCCCATGCCCAACTTGTCGTCATTCTTGAGAGTGTACATGTCCCACGGCCGTTCGATCCCATCACCATAGCCTCGTCCACAATGCCGTTTCCACTCCCCGAGCAACATTCAATTGTAGATCCCCTGCACGTCATTTCGGCCTTTTCTCTTTCATCCCCGAGTAAAAAAGTCTTTGTCTTCGTGTGAACTCCAGTACTCCTCGCTTGGGGCAGTCGCTGAATGCCGAATGACACTTTTGTCCAATCCAATTCAACGCCAGCCTGTTATTGAATCCCGGAAAAGCGAGGACACAAAAACAACTCGTGCCAACATCGCGCCGAAAGCATGATAGTTGATTCCCTGCTCAAATTTGCTGTCCCACTTCCTTTCTCAAGACATGCTGGCCCAGTCTTATTTGATCTTTCAACGGGGCTGCAGAGTCTCCTCCATGTCCGACACCGTCAATAACCTCTTCTGACTGACCCATCGACATAAATATAACCTGTTTAAGCAATATTTTCTTTTCTGAAGTAAATGCCGCTTCCCATATGTATTTCCTATTGTAAATGCGAAATGCGAGGCCCTGCCACGTAGGCACAAAATTCTTCTGATACCCATGCCTGCGTATCTTATAGTCGTGAACCCACCACCCATCTGGGTATTCTCACGATAACCTCCGCTTCCTAACGCGGAGGTGAAGTCTGATAACTCCCGTTCGTCGCTCGACCGTCGACATTACTCGACTCGTCGTTAGGCGAACCTTCGCCTGCAAGCTTATTGTCTGACGCAACAATCTTGCCGTGGATGTTTTGGAGCTCTTTACCTTTTATGCCCTTGTTAGGCCAATATGTGGCGGCATAGTCCCTGCGACGAGTTAGCTAAACCGAGGCAGCACGGCCATCAACGGTACTCACCAGAAGCGCTTCTCCACAGACTCTTGGTTGTCGTCGAGTTCGGCGACTTGATCGGTGATGAAATTTCCAATCTGCTTGAGCAGGACTCGTAATTCATTCGCTCTGGTTTGTCCATCCGGTATGGCGCTCTTTGTCGTGGCTTTGATCTTTCTCAAGCTTTCCCTAACAGGCTTGAACAACATGTCCAACAGAGGATCAACTTCCGACGTGGCAGCATTGGAGGGATTTTCACTTCTTCGGTGATCACTGCCGTGCCGATGGTGAGAGGTGTGAGCATGTTCATCACGGTGTCTGCGCTCTTTATGTTCTCTATTCTCACTTTCATGCTTGATATGGCTGTGCCGACCCTCGGATTTCGGAGTCCCATATCTTTCAGAACTCTCGCGATGAGTCTGGCTGACTGCTCTGTGTCGAGGTTTCTCGGATTCGCGATGTCCTTTGCGATTGACAACAGAAGCGGGAGATCCGGCAGGTTTGTCAGGGTGGTACTTCTTGTTGTTGCGGTGGTGGTTCTCAACCGCTCGTTTGGCTGCTGGATCATCTGCATATTTGCTCTTTAAAACAGAGAGGAGATAATCAGCGCGGCGGACAAGGTGCACTGCACCGGGAGATTTGGCATTTTTGTCATCCATTCTCTCGCGTTCTGCTTTCTTGTCGACTCGGTGCTCTTCCAGGAAGAATTTGTCCTTTAAGCCAAGATCTGGATCGTCACGGATCTTTTCCCATGCTCCGTAACCATGTCTAGCAATACCCACACAGAGCATACCGTCTTCTCTGGCACCCCACGGGCAGGAGTATCCAGCGGCTTTCGTCGCTTCAGGAATGCGAAACGATTTGAAGTCTGCATCTTTTGAAGTGACCTCTCGGAGAAGACGCATTTCTCCAGGCCGTTCAAGAATAGTCTCAGCGTTAATTCGTTTGACGCCATGTAACTCGAATAGGACTGCTTTCTTGTCCTTCTTGGTGATAGGCCGGTTCGATGTCCGCTCCAACTCGGCCATCCGTTTCTGTTCTTCTTTGAAGAGCTCTTCGGATTTGTCCCAGACTTCTTTCATCGCAGCCTTGACAACGTTAAGGTCTCTACCTCGAAGACGAGCTTCGGTCAAGAACTCTTCTTGACGGTCATCGATAGAGCCGTAGCGGAGATGGCCTTTGATGAGGTATCGATATTCACGCTCACTTAACGGTCGTGCGGGGTCCGCCTTGGGACCTTCGTCGGATTCGCTCTCTGAATCAACGTCTTTGTGACGCTGCTCCTGGCGCCGAGCCTTGCGCGCTTCGCGATCTTCCACTTGGTGATTACGGCTTCGAGGCTTGTTCTGTTCAATAACCTCGGCAAGAAACTTTTCGTCCGCCTTTCGTTGCTCCTCTTTCTTAATCTCATCTAACTGTTCCTTGGGGATGATGTCGTCCCAAGAAAGCTCATCAACCTTGACATCAACGAAGTCAAAGCTTCGCAGGAACTCTTCTCCGCCATCGGCGTCGGTGCCATCCGGCTGCTCAACTTTATAGTCTTCGGCGTTGTTGAGCACAGCATCGAGATCTAGCTCTTCGAGCTTTTTCTGGTTGTCGGTTTGCTCAAACATCTTCTGACCACGTTTCTTGAGAATTCTTGAGATCTCACTAGAGCTACCTGGTTCGCCAACCAAGGCATTGCGTCGAGCCTGCGTCTCCTTGTCGGTGACACCGCGTTGTATAGTCAAGAATTCTAGCATCAATTTGTTTCTGGCACGCTCGAGAATTTCTTCCTCGATGGTCTCCTTGGAGACCAAGCGGTACACACTGACTGGCCTGACTTGGCCAATCCGGTGAGCTCGGGCCATCGCTTGCAAGTCGGCTTGTGGGTTCCAATCGGAGTCGAAGATGATGACCGTGTCGGCGGTCATAAGGTTGATTCCCAGACCACCAGCTCGGGTGGAGAGCAAGAAACAGAAATCGGTGCTGTCTGGAGCATTAAAATGATCAATGGCGATGCGGCGAGGAGCAGCCGCGATAGTGCCGTCAAGACGCTGATAAGCATGACCTCGATAATCCATATAGTCTCCGAGGATGTCGAGCATCCTGACCATCTGGCTGAAAATCAAGACACGATGGCCGTCACGTTTGAGCTTGGTGAGAAGTTGATCAAGAAGCATCATCTTGCCACTACTTGTGACGAGAGCACGCAATACTTCCTCACGTCGAGCGCCTTCCGGAACAAGGCGTTCCTCGGCAGTAGGAAACATGAATGGATGATTGCTGGCCTTCTTCAGCTCCATCATAATGTTCAGGAGCGATTGTTTCTGACCTTTGGCGCCTTGGTTGAGAGCAGCATAATTCTTGGTCAGGATATTTTTGTAATATTCAAGCTGGATGTCCGATAATTCAACGCGAATGATCTTTTCAGTCTTCGGCGGCAGGTCTTTCTCAACTTTCTGCTTGGTCCGTCGAAGCATGTATGGCTTGATGTCCTCGGTGAGCTTAGCGATTTTAGCACTTGCCTCCTCGTTGGTGAGGTCCATGTTCTCGTCGATGTTGACAACACCGGGATTCAAGAAATCAAACAATGCAGAAAGCTCCCCGAGATTGTTCTGTACCGGAGTGCCAGTGATGAGTAGCCGGGCCGGAGCTTTGAATTCCCGTAAGCGGTCGTACAGCTGAGAATCACGATTCTTCAGACGGTGAGCTTCATCCACAGCCATAAATTGCCATTTAATCTGACTCAAGAACGGCGCATCTTGTAGCACATACTCGTATGTTGTCAGGAGGACATGAAAGCGTGGATGGCGGAAGTTCCCATCTGGCAACAATTCGTAATCTTTGATGATATTCCGAGCGTTTTGATTGCCGTTGTAGACCACGTAGTTGATATCAGGCGCCCATAGATCGAAGGTTTCTGCCCAGGCCGGCATGGTCGACAGCGGGACGGTGACAAGGAATGGTCCCTGTTGACCACGGTCATGTCGAAGCCAACTCAGGAACGCAACAGTTTGCACAGTCTTTCCAAGACCCATCTCGTCCGCCAGGACGACATTTTTCCCTTTAACCCAGTTGTATGCTAGGAAGTTCAAGCCAGTCATCTGAAAATCTCGCAATGTGCCGCCCTTGATGTATGATGGCTGATCCCGGACCGGTTGAAAGGGTGACCGAGTCGAAGGATTGCTCTCCGTCGGGTTGGACTTGAACTCTTCTCGTCTGCGGTTGATATATCTGTCGATCTCGTTCTGCGCAATCTGGCTAATCAGGCTCGACGCCTCCCAGGTAGCCTGATCATAAAAGAGACCTTTCCACTTGACATAGTACTCAGTACCTTCTTCACCATCGCGATCTCCAATGACTCGTTCCACCTTCTTGTAATCATCTAGGGCATCAATGTACTGCTCACGGTCCAGAATCCACTTTTCCTTATCTTCTGGGGCGATATTGGGGTCAGTCTGAATGCGAATATCCTCCATCAGGGTCTTCTTGACATAGTTTTCTAATCGCCGGACGCTCCGGACGCCAGCAAGTGACTCAACGGTTTCCCATGTAGCATGGTAATAGGCTTTCTGCTGCCATTTGATGAGATATTCGTACTCGTCCTTTGAGCGCGTCGGGGTGGAAACATCGTCCTTAAGACGATGGTTCAAGACAATGTCAATGGCCGGGGAGTTGTAGTCTTGACCGTTTACCCAATAGTTGGGAGTCATTGTCTCAGGATCGTCCTCTTCGAACATGTCATCATCATCATCTTCATTATATGTAGATACTTTGGCAGCTCGACGAGTGGAGAAGCGGATTTCAGCGTGTTGAGGCGTTAGGCTTTCTGCAGACTGTAACAATCTTCGGCGTTGCTTCTTGGACAGCTTTGCACGTCGGCCGCCGTAAGCGTCGGAATCGTCATCAGAATCAGTCGGAGACTCGACGATAGGAGTAGGCTGCTTCGACGAGCGTTGAGAAATGTGACGCGCCCGCTTCCGGGGGGGAGCAACAACGTCCGAGTCCGAGTCATGCTCCTCGGAGGATTCTGCCATGTTTTGAACGTGTCGAGCCCTCCCACTTCGCCTCAGGCCATACATTTCTGGGTTATTCCGAATGTAGTCATCTTCTTCGACTGGATGTGCCTTCCTCTTCGCGGGTCTAATGGAATCATCTGACGAAGAGTGGTTCTCGTCCACTTGCGCACCGTTTGCGCGTATAGAGACATCCATCTCATAATCGGCGTCACCTTCAGCATCAGGCTCATCTGAGCTGGGCTCGTCATGATCTTGCATGGGATCATCGTCATCCTCGTTGTCGACATGTGACGGCGAGGCTCCGGCAGCAACAGGCTCCGTGGGCTCCGACAGTTCACTCTCACTGTCGGAATACCTGGCGCCGTTCTGCATTGCGGTGGCAGGTGGTGACGGAGGAGGTTCAGAAGATGGTGAGGGTTCGGACATTGAGGGAGGTTGAGGTTCGGCGAGGGTACCGGAGGCTATAAGAGACAGCGTCAGCAAGGTCGGCCACACATGGAGAAGGCCGGTACTAAAACAGCCGCGGGACCAGGTAATTTGGACCCTCGCGATTCAGGAAAGCTTCAAGGACAAAATGTAGAGTGCTTGTGAGATGAGAAATGGGCAATATAAGATGGATTCGATGAAGTTGGAAGGCGACGAGATGAATTAGGGTGTGCAAAAGTCGGGTGACTTCTGAGCAGCTTTCCCAACCGAATCACGGCCAAAGACGGTCTTGGAGAGCACAGAAGAACAGAGTATGGCATTTTCGACAGGTCGCAGGATCTCTCCAGACGAGATATATTGAACTTGACCGGGGAGCGCTGAGCTCGAAGACGAGGCCGAGCAGCCGCCGATCAGAGGAACCGGACCCGAGTCTGGAAATGCAGCAACCAAAAATCAGCACGACAACGAGATGACTTACACTCCATCATCAATGGACAGAGCCCATCAGGCACCTGGAATTCGGTTGTGTTCGTAGCAGAATTTGTATATAGAGGTCGAGTGGGAAGAGTGGTGTGGATGTGGATGGAGAGAAATATGGGCTCACACGAGACGAGAGGGACGAGGCTTTGGGGTACAAAGTAAGAAGAAAGTGCAAGCGCAGTTTGACTGACAGGGCAGACTGGGCGAGCGGCAGGGAAGGACGTGCTGCTCCATACGAGGTACATGTAGCGAGACGCCTAGCGAGTTAGGTTTGGTTAGGCTTAGGGAGGGACTTTGGCTCGCCCGGCCCATCCAAACGCCATTCACAGGCCAGGTGTGCCTACTTAGGGCCTGCTTAGGGATGGTCTGGGCTACCATTGCACCTGAATGGGTAGGTCAGGCGGGAGATGGGCGCCTGGTCCAATCACGGCCCTAGGAATTTTGATTTTTCGTCAGGCTCTGACTTTGTGTGGGTGTCATTCACCAATTCACTCGCATTCAGGCAGTCGAGCACCTTGTTCTTCGATTCACTCACTCATTCACCGCATTCTCAACAAACCACAATAGCCACCCGGCCAGCTCTTCGACTGCCGCTATTGTTGTCGGTGACTCATTCATATAGACCTATTCAGAACCATCTTCTCATCACAAAGCCCTTTTTATTCACCCCCCCGCTACGAGGTCCTCCTCCTAACCAATTCGCCCGCAACCAGGTCATAATGGCGGACAAGTTGACCAGGTACGCTCTTATTTCGCGGCTTCTTGACGACTGTCGGCTAACCTCGTGCCTAGAATTGCTATTGTCAATAGCGACAAGGTGAGGATAGTCTCTGTTCGTCTGTGCTTCGAGTGTGTTCGTCGCTAACAAGTCCATTTTCTGCCCCGCAGTGCAAGCCAAAGGTGAGCCCACCACCACAAACAATCAAATCTCTGTAGAGAATAAGGGCTGACGCTGCCACCAGAAATGCCGTCAAGAATGCAAGAAGTCGTGCCCTGTCGTCCGAACGGGTAAACTCTGCATTGAAGTCACTCCCGAGTCCAAAATCGCCTACATCTCGGAACTACTGTGCATCGGTTGCGGTATCTGTCCCAAGAAATGCCCGTTTGGTGCCATTCACATAATCAACCTGCCAACAAATCTTGAAACTCAAGTCACCCACCGGTATTCGGCAAACAGCTTCAAGTTGCACAGACTGCCTATGCCACGGCCGGGTCAGGTTCTGGGATTGGTGGGGACAAACGGTATCGGAAAGAGTACGGCCTTGAAGATTCTTAGTGGCAAGTTGAAGCCGAATCTGGGGCGATATGACAATCCACCGGATTGGGAAGAGATTTTGAGATACTTCCGTGGATCCGAATTGCAGAGTGAGCAATACACTGGGCCCCTGTGGGCCGACTTCTAATCCGGGCAAACAGACTATTTCACAAAGGTGCTCGAAGACAACCTCAAGGCCATTGTCAAGCCACAGTACGTGGACCAACTTCCACGAGCCATCAAGGGGCCAGTCAAGACAGTCAAGCCGCTCATCGAAGCCAAGTCCGAGTTGGGCAATCTCGACCACATCATGGATGTACTCGGTGAGTGACAAGCAACTTGACGAACTAATATAAGAAAGGCTAATGATTCTTGCAGAGCTGAATGCTGTTTCTGAGCGAGAGATTGGTCTTCTCTCGGGGGGAGAACTGCAGCGGTTTGCTATCGCCCTCGTTTGCGTCCAAAAGGCGGATGTGTACATGTTTGATGAACCCTCGTCATACCTAGATGTCAAACAACGTCTCAGCGCCGCCAGAACCATTCGCGAACTCCTCCGGCCGGATGACTATGTTATCGTCGTCGAACACGATCTGTCAGTCCTCGACTATCTCTCCGACTTCATCTGTGTCCTCTATGGCAGACCTGCTGTGTATGGAGTGGTTACTCTTCCTGCCTCGGTTCGAGAAGGCATCAACATCTTCCTCGATGGCAATATCCCCACTGAAAACTTGCGTTTCCGTGAGGAAAGCCTAACCTTCCGCATTGCTGAAGCTGGTGAAGATTATATGGTTGACAAAGCCCGTGCCTTTGAATACCCCTCCATGGAGAAGACCCTCGGCTCGTTTCATTTGAAAATCGAAAAAGGAAAGTTCACCGACTCCGAAATCATCGTCATGATGGGCGAAAATGGTACTGGCAAAACTACCTTTTGTAAGTTGCTCGCTGGCGTGGAGAAACCCGATGGCACCCAGAAGGTCCCGGCCATGAACATTTCGATGAAGCCACAAAAGATTACACCCAAATTCCAGGGCACGGTCCGTCAGCTCTTCTTCAAGCGCATCAAAGCTTCCTTTTTAAACCCGCAGTTCCAGACCGATGTCTACAAGCCTCTCAAGATCGACGACTTCATTGATCAAGAAGTCCAGAACCTGTCCGGGGGTGAATTGCAACGTGTGGCCATTGTCTTAGCGCTCGGTCTCCCCGCAGATATTTACTTGATTGACGAGCCTTCTGCATACCTGGACTCTGAGCAACGTATCATCGCCGCGCGCGTGATCAAGCGCTTCATCATGCACAGCAAGAAGACGGCCTTCATTGTCGAACACGATTTCATCATGGCCACCTATCTCGCTGATCGCGTCATCGTGTTTGACGGCAAACCATCTGTCGACGCCCGCGCCAATACCCCCGAGTCACTGCTGACAGGCTGCAATAAGTTCCTCAAGAACTTGGACGTCACGTTCCGTCGGGATCCCAACTCGTACCGTCCGCGTATCAACAAGTATCAGTCCCAATTGGACCAAGAGCAGAAGCTCTCTGGGAATTACTTCTTCCTGGAGGAAACAAGTTGAAAATTTATAAACTGTTGCGAAGGGCATCTTTAAGAACGAATATGATCATCAACGTAATGATCGTGATGACAAACGTAACGAGCGTGAACGCCATCACCAGCGTCAGCGTCACGAAGACACGAATTGCGACGCAAACGAAACTTTCGACAATGGGACGGCCTCGCAGCTGAGAAGCACGGGTAAAAGTGCCAAAAAGCGCCGAGGCGGAGTTATCATCGCGGATGACGATGAGGCCGAGGACCATGAAAATGAAGACGAGGCCGATGGTGCGTGCTTGTGGTGGTAGAAATGGACCTGTTCCATTATGTGGTTCTTCCCATGCGTCACCTTGCCGGGAGGTTCCCTCCAGCTGCTTGGTGAGGCTAAGTCCAAAGTCGATTCCGTTATCAGCGGTGAGAGTTACAGCTTGAGACCAGTCTAGCTAGACCACCGTCAACGGAACTGCTCATTGAGTTATGGCATATGCGGTTTCACACATCGATATCGACTTGGATTTCAGTACCACTGTTGTCAAAGAGCTGAACGACTCTGGCTAGTCAATGCGACACTTGAAGAGTCGGCACACGGTATAAGGCTTTGATGCAGCTGATGAAAAGTCTCCTACCACCATATCAGAATAGGAAGGAGGAATACCTGCCTTCACACGGAAACTAGGACAGAAGGATATAGGACGAGTTACGCTCATTTGAATTACAGAAGGAAAACTTTGACGCCGCGTGTCAAGGGCAAAGAAAGGGCTTTGCGTTGGAGGAAAGCTTCTCGATACGTAGTCATTCATTCACTCATGCAGATAGCTGTCCCAGAAGTGGTAGTATCTGATTTCCCCAGAGACCCCTCCCTTGGTTTCTCTTTTCTTCCCTTTTCCCCAAGTCCACTATTCATGCGGCGAGGTTGACGTCGTCAGTCTGGTGCTCGCTGTATCCGTAATGATACTCGCATGTGTTCTTGACCGTCGATCCATTCATAAAGTCATCTAGGTATTCATTCATCCCGTCATTGAAGGTCCCCCTTGGTCCCCCTGCCGTCCGACCGGCCGGGCGGCGCGGGCCGGTCCAAGCCTCCTGCCGTCCCAGATGTTATGCTCCGCCCTTTTCTTGCCCTCTTCAATACATAGAACAGAGACACCATGCGGCCTGTAATGTCTCTGCGCTGCTTACCGGGCATGACCATGTGTTTTGTTTTGCTTTGGACTACTTTGGGCAGTGGTTGGAGGGATAGATAGATAACTACTCGACTCGAGCCGGAGCGACAGAGGACGAAGAACGAGGACGTGGTAATGGCAGGATGGATACGGCTGATTGTGAATTGATTGATTTTGTCCCAACTTAATCGTCTGGAAACTATCAATCTTACTCCAATCGTTTCAACCTTGGATTTGCTCGTCTCGGTGCTCCATATACTTTCTTCCTTCCATTTCGCGCCTATTTGGGGGAGTCGAGCTCACTGGCATCTTCGCCACCTGTCCCTTCTTTATACCCTTCCTCTCACCCAATACTGCACACACATATCCCCAAGCGTCGATATCGAGTTGCAGGAAACAACAACCCGACTAGCCAGAGCACCCGCAAAAGCCATAACTCAAGATAAAGGCAGGACCATAAACAAGACGAAACGTCCTCTTCCAAAGTCAACCTATCCTCAGTGCCGTCTCAGGTTCACCTCCTTGTCCGTCCGAGGTATTTCTTCTTGCTTGTCCTTCGTCCTTCATATCTTGGTCTTGTTTCGAGTGTTTCTGAGATTGTCTTTGACAGTTGGGTGGGCATTCTAGTCCCAGCTCAATTTCTCATGTTGAGTTGACGTGCCGCATCCCCCACCATGAACAAAAGAAATTTTTTGATGTAGCTATTGTTGTAGGTATACCGTTTGCCTCAATACCCATCATCGGGTTCATTACCATGTGTTGACGACAAGATACCGGTTGAGAAAGGATAATTCTCCGGGCGACGCAACTCATCACTCCGTGCAATAAACTAATATGACAGAGCGCAGAACCATATTCCCAGTACGATCAATAAAGAGGACCGGCGAGTAGAGCCTCTGCGAGACGAGTTGTGTGCTCTTCATCATCCCTTTTCGTCCTTAGTAGTTGTCGGATTTGCCGCTGTACAGCGGTAGATTGAAACATGCATTACAAATGAAACATCGTTAGAAGAAGTTAAGGACCTTGCGCCTAAAACGTGCGGATTGAATCCAAGCATCGCTATCTGTCGTCAAGACAAAGATCGAGCTGTCGATCAGGGTAGAAGTGAAGTCGGATAACAGCTTCCACAGCTGTTGGAAAACATAAACAGAGAAAGCGGTTCGGTGGAACCGAGCCAGCTTGGCTCAGCGGCTCAAGGTCGTCGAAAGGTCATTCATCAGCGGAGTATGGTGTCGTGATAAAGATTCGCCAAAACGCCCAAAAAGTTTCGTGACGTTCATCAAGAAGCCACGAGGAGTGCGATGTTCGAGTACCGTGCATCCTCAGAAGGGAATGTCATGTTGAATGCCGGCCGAATTCCGCGTCGACCTTCTAGTGGGAGGGAACGGTCGATTCTCCCAGAGTCATCATAATGTTACATAGACCCCAGACTCAGGAGAGCTTCAATTGCAGCTCGTTCCTGGGAGTCATTCACGCCAGCGCCGGTGGGAAATGCAAAAGTCGTCGAGTGGTTGACAGGCATGGGTTTGGTCGGAGCGGTGTGGGCGACATCGCCTGGGGTTTTGGAGCGATACCTTGGCCGATAAGAGTATGTCGCGATGGGCTGATAGAGTCTGCCTGGACCAGAAACCGATCTGCCTTGGTTGGGGAGAGATCTGGCTCGAAGTGCTGCGGCTCCGATACTGGCCCAGTCCTCTTCGTCCGTCATCTCCCCGTCACCGAGGTCTTCATCAAGAGGTTCAGGGGCGACGGACGAGACGTAGCCATCGTCGTCGTTGTCTAAGGACATCTTATCGGCTTCATGCTCCAGCATATCTTGATCCTCATACTCCATTTCAGAGTGGGAGAAGACAGCGGAGTTGCCGGTGTAGCTAGTTCCCAGGTTTTCAGACCCCGTACGCCAGGACCGGTGGGTAGGCACCTGAAGGCCTGGCTGGGAGTAGGATGATGGTAAGCTACCTGGAGGAGTGATGGTAGCGCCTTGACGCTCGCGCGGCGGTTGACCCTTCATCCGAGCGTCCCAACGTCCCCATCCGACCTTCTCGAATATGACGTCCCCATCGCGGCCGGCGCCTTCCACACCGCCCCCTTTGCCTTCAAGGGCGGCCACGACCAAGCGACGCGCTTTAGCCGAAGTGATGCGCGAGAAGCCGGGCACCGAGGTTGTCAGATAGCCCATGATGTGCCTAATGGCCAGGGGCCCGTGAGACAACAGGATGTCGGGGAGATGGTGTTTTGCCAGCATGCTCGGAGTGATGGCGCCAGCCGAGTCCAGATCACCCAGGCTGTCAAGGGCTTCGGCGCTCAACGCGGTAGGTTTCAGGTTGTCAGGCGCATCTTGCAAGTCGATGTCTGAATCCACCGCCGTGCTCTTGGGAGACATGGGACCATGCTGGTTACTATCTCGACGACGGCCATGGCCACGCGGCGGGAGGTTCGGCGAGATGGAGTTTGGAGGACTTGGCAGCATGCCAGAGCGCTTCTTGGAGGAGGAGCCAGCCGTTACAGCAGTGAAGTTGTCCCGGCCTTTGAGGGCATCGCGAGGCTTTGGTATGTCGACGGATGCGGACCCGCCGTTCAGGGCCATACCCAGAGCCGAAACAGGTGTCGGAGCCATTGTTGTTGCTATGCTGTGAAAGGGAAATCGTGTGTTGTATGCTATACGAGTTTATGAGTCAGCTGGCATGAAAGGGAGATGTCGTGGCGAGACGACGCGTCATGGGGGGAGAGCGACAGAGTGATCCAGAGGGAAGGTGTGTGACTCACCACACGATGGTACTCGACAGATAGAAGCGACGATAGCAGTTATCGAGATCGGTGGCGGCTGAGGCACTGGCTGGGCAGTTCTTGCGCAGAGGTCAGGTAACAGACCAAAGGGTGGGTTGTTTGGGTCAGCGACGCAGGTGTTAGTGAGCTTCTGAGTGTGAGCGTAGTGAGAAGAGACGACCTGGACGGTGATCTCCCTTTGCAGCGAAATCTTCCCTTGGGATAAGGAAGATGTAGAAAGGGGAAGAAAGAGAAGACAAGACGATGGAAGTGAATGGACGTTCTGATAAACAAAGCGGGGGTGGGTGGGCGAAGTTGGTTGTGCAGCTGGTTGTGCAGGTGCAGATTTGGTTGGTTGACAGATTGGGCAATGCTGGGTGTTTGTTGTAATAATAATATGCAGACTTGTAGATGGAAACGAGGATGGGGATGGAATGGGTGTCTACGACGGGAAGTCTTGGGGGGGACTTTTGGGGGTCCCTCACCCACGCCCTCTATCTTGAGGACCTTGGGCTAGGCATGGCTAGGCGCTCGAGAGAAACCAGGCCCAGTGACCTGGTGGCCCTTGCGCACGAGCAGGTCCCAAGGCGCAACTGGTGAGAGAGTACTTGGTAGGTAAGAGGAACAACGGGCGAATCAGCCACCGAGGTGCTCACTGGAATTGGCCAGCTGAACAGCCAAGGCAATGGGCCACCAGGCCGAGTGGTGGACCCTAATCGCCCTCCGGAAATCGGTGGAGCGGCTGGTCAGAGATGATTCATGTTGTCCATGGACCATCACGGGTTCACGCACAAGCACCCGCCAACACTAATCCTGGACTTGATAGGCCCCTAAGCAGAAACTCTGGGGGATGCCGCGTGGCTAAAGATCGGCACTCCGACTGGCTAGTTGGGCGGCCGGGTGGCCTGTGAGTTGCCCCCTCCCACACCCAATAAGGGGGCCTCGACACCATCGCATGGGCACTGTGAGCCACAGCCAGCGGAGCCGGCAAGCAAACCACTGAGCTACCGTAGGTACCTCTCTACTGATCCAGATGCTGTGGCTCTCAAAGGGTCAACGTTGAATTGCTTCCCGCCACGCCAACACTAGAAAA